TAAGATTTGGGTGGGAACACAGGCAAGCCATATCATTTAGCCTTGGCCCCTCCCAAATCTCATGTCCTGACATTTCAAAACCAATCATGCCTTCCCAACAGTCCCCCAAAGTCTTAACTCATTTTAGCATTAACTCAAACGTCCACAATCCAACATCACCTGAGACAAAGCAAGTCCCTTTTGCCTATAAACCTGTAAAATCAAAAACTAGTTAGTTATTTCCTAGATACAATAGGGATATAAGCACTGGGTAGATACAGCTGTACAAAATGGAAGAAATTGGTCAAAATAAAGGGGCTACAGGCCCCATGCAAGTTTGAAATCCAGTGGGGCAGTCAAACCTTAATGCTGCAAAAGTATCTCCCTAGACTCTATGTCTCACATCCAGGTCACCCTGATGCAAGAGGGGGGTTCCCATGGTCTCCGGCAACTCCACCCCTGTGACTTTGCAGGGTATAGCCTCCCTCCCAGCTGCTTTAATGGGCTAACATCGAGTGTCTGTGGCTTTTCCAGGCACATGGTGCAAGCTGTCAGTGGGTCTACCATTCTGGCATCTGGAGGATGGTGGCTCCCTTGTCACAGCTCCACTAGGCAGTGCCCCAGTAGGGACTCTCTTTGGGGACCCCACATTTCCCTTCCACACTGCCCTAGCAGAGGTTATCCATGAGAGCCCTGCCCCTGCAACATATTTCTGCCTGGACATACAGACATTTCCATACATCCTCTGAAATCTAGGCAGAGGTTCCCAAACGCCAGTTTTTGACCTCTGTGCACTTGCAGGCTCAACACCACATGGAAGCTGCGAAGGCTTGAGGCTTGCACCCTCTGAAGCCACAGCCCAATCTCTATGTTGGCCCCTTTCACCTATGGGTGGAGCTGCTATGATGCAGGGCATCAAGTCTCTATGCTGCACACAGCACAGGAATCCTGGGACCGGCCCACAAAACCACCTTTTCCTCCTAGGCCTTGGGCCTGTGATGGGAGGAGCTGCTGTGAAGACTTCTGACATGACCTGGAGATACTTTGCCCACTGTCTTGGGGATTAATATTTGTCTCCTTGTTACTTATGCAAATTTCTTCAGTGGGCTTGAATTTCTTCTCAGAAAATGGGATTTTCTTTTCTGTCACATTGCCAGGCTGCAAATTTTCCAAATTTGTATGCTCTGCTTCCCTTATAAAACTGAATGCCTTTAATAGTACCCAAGTCACCTCTTGAATGCTTTGCTGCTTAGAAATTTCTTTTGCTAGATACCCTAAATCATCTCCCCCAAGTTCGAAGTTCCACAAATCTCTAGGGCAGGGGCAAAATGCTGCCAGTCTCTTTGCTAAAAAACATAACAAGAGTCACCTTTGCTCCAGTTTCCAACAAGTTCTCATTTCCATCTGAGACCACCTCAGTCTGGACTTTCTTTTTCCATGTCACTATCAGCATTTTGGGCAAAGCCATTCTCAAGAAAGTTCTAAATGTTTCCACATTTTCCTGTCTTCTTTTGAGCCCTCCAAACTGTTCCAACATCTGCTTGTTATTCAGTTCCAAAGTTGCTTCCACATTTTTGAGTATCTTTTCAGCAATGCCCCACTCTACTGGAACCAATTTACTGTATTAGTCCATTTTCATGCAACTGACAAAGACAAACATGAGACTGGCAATATGCAAAAGAAAGAGGTTTAATTGGAATCACAGTTCTTTGTTATGAGGAGGTCTCAAAATCACGATGGAAGGCAAGAAGGAGCAAATCACGTATTACACAGATGGCAGCAGGCAAAAAGAGAGAGCTTGTGCAGAGAAACTCCTGTTTTTAATACCATCAGAACTTGTGAGACTCATTCACTATTACAAGAACAGCATAGGAAAGACCTGCCCCCATAATTCCATCACCTCCCACTAGGTTCTTCTCACAACATGTGGGAATTGTGGAAGTTACAATTCAAGATGAGATTTGGGTGGGGACGCAGCCAAACCATATCAGCATCAATAAAGAATATGATAGCTACTCACATAAGAACAAACCATGTAATCCTTCCCTTCTTCTGTCTTTCCCTCCATTCCTCTTTCCTTTTTTCTTTCCTTTCTTTATTTGCTTCATTTCCTGCTTCATTCCCTGCTTTACCCTTATTTTGTTTTCCCCCATTCCTTCCTTTTGTGTAAGACAACATGAAGTATTATATATATATACGTTTGGACTTTTTAAAAATATACATTTTCATGTGTAGGCTTTGATATTTTCTAGCTGTGAAAACTTGAGCACATTACCCAATTCAAGCCTCAATAGTAAAGGCTTGAATCTCGCCTATAAAATAGAGCTAATAATGCTTACCAAAGATTAATATGATGAAATTAGGAAATAAAACTAAAATATATAACATATATAAGACACTCAATAAATGTAAAGTATTATTTTTAAATGCTAGATTTTGTTTGTTTGTTTTTGCATTCTATGCTATTTCCATCCTTCTTTACTCACTGACTTAAATACAGCTTGCTAGGCACTTGCTAATTTCTACCATGACACAGTGAAAGAAATCTCATTTTTTTCACTAGAGTAGCTTACCATCTATTAGAAAAGACAAAACAGACAAACCAAAAACATAAATAGATGAGGCCTAAATAAAAATAGCCGGTACTTTAAAAGAGTTTTAGTATTTGTTGCAGACAAAGGCTCATGCAACCTTATACATTTTAGAAAAAAAAAAAAAAAAAGTATATTACTGTAGAAGGACTATCTCCATATCTGTTCTCTAGCACCAGTGATTACTAACATTTTCTATGTACACAGTCAGTATTATACCTATGTGGAACTGCTTCATGGGCAAAGTAATTTGGTTAAAATATATATTTGGAATCGCTTGTGTTTCAAACGTTCTTTATGTAACTCCTTTACAGTGTGAAAAAAAAAAATTCAATTTCTCAGGCATTCTGGATAAATTGGATGAGCTTTTTATTGACTGCAGTTAAGTCTAATTCAAAAAAGTTGATCACTGGCATTGTAGAAATGAAGGGAGGTATAATGCTCCTAGAGGCAACCTTAAACCACAGTGGAGTAAAAGTTAATGGACAAATGTCCCAGCCTTCCAGTTATGGGTGGGTGTGGGTGGCAATTTTGAGATATATTCTACTTTGATTCCCAGAGGATCCCAAGCAGGACTGAGCATAGAGTGATAAATACTCATTAACACAGGTTATTGGCCTTTTCCAATCTCCATATTACTTTATTTTATCTAACACCTGTGCTTTCTTGATCATCTCCCAAATAAAATATTTGTACTTTCTTATCTGAGAGTGTGGTTATAAAAAAATTCAACATCAGACATATTCCAACTGTATGTATCACTAATAAATGATGCACACTGAAGTTCAGTTAGCATAGCACAATAGTTATTAAATAATGTCATATCACTTCTCATAATAGTGATGAATTATTTAATACTTACTATGTGATAGTCACAGTTCCTAAGACTTTAAGGTATTAACTCATGTAATCTTCACCATTATCATATAAAGAACAGCCTCAACTGTTCACTTTCTTTAGAGTAGTAGAAAGGGGATATAACTGAGTCTACTTTAGCAAAGAGAAAGCAGAAGAACCAAGGCAGAAAGAAACAGACCAGGGCATTGCTAGAGATTAGAGACCACGACATAAACGAAAATGAGAGAGGCTTTTCCCCCAAATTAAGGTAGCCTATGGCCTGATTACCTTAATTCCAATTTCCACCAGTTTTCTTTCTGTAATGATTATTAATAATTCCCTCTTTAACTCACAAAAGTATCCCAGTGTGGATGATAAATTTTGTAATCAATTTGTCACATAAATATATCCCATTCTTCCATGTTGCCATGGAAGGATGAATGCTTGGTGATAAAACAAATATTACAAGATAGGAGATGAGATATTTTTTATATTGAGACTTTGGGTTCTTTGATAGCTGCAGTAATGTGAACTGTTCTTTAACTGGCACATCACTGAGTTTGTCCAATTAAAAACTGAAAAGCAGGCCGGCCCGGTGACTCACGCCAATAATCCCAGCACTTTGGGAGGCCAAGATGGGCGGATCACGAGGTCAGGAGATAGAGACCATCCTGGTTAACACAGTGAAACTCCGACTCTACTAAAAATACCAAAAATTAGCCGGGCGTGGTGGCAGGCGCCTGTAGTCCCAGCTTCTAGGGAACCTGAGGCAGGAAAATGGCTTGAACCCGGGAGGCGGAGCTTGCAGTGAGCCGAGATCGCGCCACTGCACTCCAGCCGGCGACAGAGACTCCGTCTAAATAATAATAATAATAATAATAATAATAATAATAATGATAATGATAATAAATACAAAACTGAAAAGCATAGAGAAGTGATTCAATGTCTTCCCAAACAGCTTTGCTGCCATTATAAGTAAGGACAACCATTCAGTTCAAAATACTTCTCTCTTTCAAGGGAAAAAATTATAATGCCCTGGGAGAGTGACATAACATAGATTTACAGATTTAAGTAGATTGAACAAAAAATGTTGCCTGGAATCAATTCACAGAAGCCACAGAGACAAAGAAGCTGAAATCAGTTTACTTCTACTAAATAATTACAACTGATTAAGAACATAATCTGAGAATAATCGGTAGCTCATTTAAAAATATCCAGTTAAATGGAAATATATTTAGAATACCATGGCAAAACTGTCACTAGGGTTCATGACTAGGACCCAGCATTTTGGTTAAAAATCCTTTGTAATTGATTCAGAATAACAAAATTCTTCTCAATCTTGAATAACATTATGAACACTTGAATAACATTATGAACACAACCTGACCTTTTTTTTTTTTTTTTTTGGGGGGGGCTGGATAATGACAATAATTCTTAGGCCTGGGAATTATAAAAGGAAATGTATTTATTTATTCGTGTTGATACACTTTTTTTCTAAATATAATGGACTGACTTTTAAAATAATTAAATTTTAAAGTGTCATTTTAATCTAAAATAATATTATCTTTTTAAAAATGATTTGAGTATCTTAGTATAATGAATATAATTTAGTACCTTAAATCCCAATTCCTTTACCATACAACAAATCAAAGCATATTTTCACACAATTCATTGTACTTATATTTTCACACTTTTTTTTTCTTTTTTTTTTTTAATGTCCTCAGGGGAGGTTTGAGCAAAAGAAGAAAGGAGACTGGGAATAGGGAGAATGGTAGGAAGAAGAGCAAGCTTTCAGGAACTGGACATGGAATAATAAATGGGAATGAGCTGGAAGAACTGTTTTTTTCTTTCTTTTTTTGAATATTAAGGTTTGATGTATTTTAAAATTGCACATGCAAGCTAGAATATGTACCAGAAAGAATTGCAATTGCTCCAAAGTTACTGGCAGTGTACTCCAGACAGTCCTTGCTTTCTGAAAAGCCAGTTTACAAAATTCCCATTTGGCAATGATAGTGATTATCCACCCTATGAAAGCATTAGCTCAGGATCTCTTTGCATAGCTGGCTCCCCTAGTGCACTTCAAATATATTTTGACCTTTCAGATAAAGGGAATAAAACAAGGTAGGCCTCCTGTTAACTTGGTTTCTACAATTCAGTTTGGAAAATGATTCATGTTTTCTAATATTTTCTGGGTGAAGCTCCTTATTGGTCAACATCAGACCAAATCACCTTGGAAAGGCTATCACAGAATTCCTCGGGTGTTCTTCCTGCTTCCTTATAGCAGAAAACAAAATGTAATGAGTATGAGTAAAACATTATTTGATACTCAGAAGCTTACAATCCAGAGGTGAAATCACAGATCCGGAAAGAAGCAGCCCTCTTCCCTTTCAAATGGCCACCTATATGCAGGACAAGATAGAGAGGCTCCCTTTTGGGTCAAATAAAAGGATTTTGATCCATTCAAAAGAGAAGATTTAATAAAAATAATCATCTCAATAAGCTTAAAAAACATAGATTAGACAGAGAAAACACACTGATCTTATAAATAGAAACTATTACGTTTAAAGGGATTTAATATCCCCGTATTTGAATCTAGGGCAAATTACTCACTTTAATGTCAGTAATTTTAAAACTATTCATCTGTTATTATAATACCTCTGTAACTTAAAAGACAAATTTGCCCTATGCTTCTGGATAATCCTGTTCTTTACAAAGCCTTTAGCAGTGCCTGTGGAATAATTACAGAATAATTTTTGAGTTAAAGATATTTAAAGGTAATTTTGGAAGTTATTTTATGATCACCACAACCCCAAGTCGATTGTTTGCAGGCAAAATGTTTTCACATTCACAATGGTGAATGAGAGATTGTCAACCAAATACTTAACCATGATTAATGAGATATATTGTTTATTTTTCCAATCTTGAGTACAACTGTGAATAATTAATCATTTTCCCTAGATATTATCACTAGATTATAATTTAAATTTCCTCTTAATCACACAAAGGAAAAGCAATGGCTTATTGTTATTTATAACCATTTAGCCTATTTTCTTGTATCAATTTCAATTTACTTGAACTAGGGGACTGAAGGTACATTACAGATAACATTAGAAAAAAATGCCATTTAAAAAAATTATCTGAGTGAAAAAAAATCTATCTATAACATATGGGGGAAAGGCAAGCATACACATTCAAAGGAGTAAATATTACAACCATAATCTGGGATATTGACAGTAAATGTCAAGTACAGTAGAGCCTGGAACAACATGGATTTGGACTTGACAGGTCCACCTATGCACAGATTTTCTTCTGCCTCTACCACGTCTAAGACAGTAGGACCACGACGTTCTCTTTCTCCCCCTTCGCAGCCTACTCAACGTGAAGATTATAAGGATGAAGACTTTTAAGATAATCCACTTCCATTTAATCAATGGTAAATATATTCTTTATGATTTCCTTATTAATATTTTTTCTTTAGCTTACTTATTGTAAGAATAAAGTATATAATACATATAAAATACATAATATGTATTAATAAACTCTTTATATTACTGGTAAGGCTTCTGGTCAACCACAGACTATTAATAGTTAAGTTTTATAGAAGTCAAACTGCATGGGTTGTCAGTACCCTTAACACCCACATTGTTCAAGGGTCAACTGTAAGTGTTGCAGACAGAAAATGCAATTGACTATGAAAGGGAAAACAGAATAGTCTTCCCATCTGATGTGACAAGATTAGGACGACATCTAAGACATGTGAGATTAGTTTTGGACAGTGAAGAGTATGTAGGCTTCCTAGAGGCAGAGAAATGGGGAGGTAGAAACTCCAGATTGTACATGAATCTTGAATATAGATGTTGTAAAAGATAAGGTAAATACTGTTAACTATTATAACAAACAAACCCAAGATTATTAATGGCTTAATGCAATAAACTTATTTGTCATTCAGGTAAAGTTCAAATGCAGGTTAAGCATCCCTTCTCCATATGTGGTTATGCCATCTGAAACATGTTTCTTTCCATGTTCATCACACTGGGAAAGAGAGATGGAGGAAGCACACGCGCTTTTAATTGCCATACTCCATATTCATATGCATGCCATTTTGCTCATAGCCAGCAGACCAGAGCTAGTCACATATTTTCAACCCAAATGTGAGTGAGGCTGGGGAAAAGTCTATAGACATCTCAGGAGCAATACCCTTATCTGTAATTTATAGGTATATGTATGATAAGTTTTGTATTCTTGTAGTCCTAAAATAGAGTAATAGTCCTAAGATTAAACATATTTTTGAGGGGGAAATAGTAAGGATTTTGAAAATCAAAATGAGAATTGAATTTATCTTTTAAAAAAACTGAAAGACATTAATGAATCTGAGCCCAAAGTTCCATAATCCAAAAAATTTTCTAATGAACAGTGTGTGTGTGTGTGTGTGTACATGTGGCCGCATGGCATTGAGAGGTAGGAGGATAACACATCAAGTATAGTACGGGCTGCTTATTCGACAAGCTAAGCTAAACTAAGCTAAAATGAGATTTCCCCATCTCTGATTTTTTACTCAGAAGTAAAAAAATCAAATGAATTGGTTGCCTACTGTTGCCATTCAGTGTTTGGGTAGGTTCTAAAACAGCCGGATCTTCAAACTGATTCTGCTCTGTGGAGCCAGTAATGATTGTGTATGTATGTTCTACTAGTCAGCTAGGTTTCCCATAACAAAACACCATAAACTGGGTAGCTTAAACAACAGAAATTTATTTTCTCACAACTTTGCAAGCCAGAAGTCTGAGTTCAGGGTGCCGGCTTTGTTGAGGTCTGTTGAAGACTCTTCCTGACTAGTTTTCTCACTATGTCCTCACATGGTGACAAGAGGAAGAGGGTAAGCTCTTTGGTATCTTTTACAGGGATACTAATCTCATCATGAGGGACTCACCCTCATTACATCATCTAAAGTTAATTATTTCCCAAAGAGTGAAACTCCAAATACCATCACATTGGTGGTTGGGACTTCAACATATGAATTTGGCAGTGGAGGGCACAATTCAAAGAATAGCATAAGTTAACTAAATATGGAAATTGGCCTTAGCACTGGAGAAGGGACTACTGCTTCTCACTTTTGTCCTGTATGCAAGAACATTTAATTTTCCACTTTTCCTCCATTTGTCAAATTATTAGTTATCCCTCAAAACTCACATAAGACTCCTGCTTCTAAGTTAATTCTTCTTTAATTGCCAGAGTTTACAATTGATTTCACCTATCTATGAAAATTTTTGTTGTTGTAATTAGAATTAATGTTACATATAATTATCCTCTAATTGACTTATTTACAAGGGTTGTAAATGGATTTATATTTACAGGAATAATTACTGATACATTTTATATAGTATAATTATTTTCTTGTTAATATTACATTGTATAACACATGTGCAGAATATAAAGTAAATCAGCTGCAACAATGTGCCTTCTTAACACTGGCAGCACCTAAACTGGGAATTTTTTATAGTGTAATCTCCCTTAAGTAGTAAAATAGTAAATATCTATTAATAGTATAATATCCTCTAAAAGCCTGGGGAAAGTGTGTTAAATGATATAATTTGTCATACATTTTGCGATAATTGCTCTCAAATGTGACAATGACAGGTGTGCCATTGTCAGAATGTATTTTTTAAATAGCATAAGTTACAGTTTATTTACTTGCTTCTATAGAATCCCTGACTCCTGGCAACCTGTATTCCTGATTTTAGAGTTTCCCTCTTTACTTAGAAGAAAAAGTTTTCAGTCGAAAATTTAGCAACTCTATACAAATACCAACTTTTCCCAGGAGGAGAAAAAGGAATAGGAAAAACTTTGGATAATTTCAATCTTGGAAAATGAGGGAGAAGAAGGTGCTCTTGAGAAGGAAACTTTGTTCTCAATTAAAAGAATACAAAGTAGACTAATGTAAGGAAATTGTTAGGTTGAGAGATAAGTGGATCAGCTCACCCTGGCAGTTCATAGAGCTGGATGAAATGGGGGTAAGGATACCAGTGTTTGTTTACTGGTTGATTTGGGATTAGGAAAGTAACGATGTAACTAACTTTCTTTTGTTTTTCTTTTAATTGGTCTATAAAAGATGACTAAATATGTATATCTATACAACTTTGTAGTGGATCCAGCATAGCACATGGGAAGGTTACCACCAATGTTAGTAAACAGCAATTATATTTTGAGAAAAGTGACTATATCTTCCTCTTTTATATAATATAAATAAAAAAGTGAGTGTTAACTAATAAACACTTGTAGATACATCTCCTCTTCAGGATTAGGTTGTTCTTTGAGATTAAGAGAAAACATACATAGCTACATGTGGACCAATAAAGAAATTTTCTTTATGCACCTTGTTCTTGTTCACAGAGAAAAGCATTCAAAAATCTTCAGAGCTGTCAGGGGAAGATAGGGCCCACCTTGCACTTGACATTATATATCAGACTTACTGTCTTTCATTAGACACAAAAGGGGAATAACTAAGTGTGTTTGGGGCTCAACAAATCCCCCAGATAAAACATGCAGTATAATATATACAGAATAAAAGATAATACTCACTGGGGCATGGATTACACCATGTGAGCTGTCTGTCTTTGCACCAACTTCATCTCAGCTTTCCGCAGTTCTCTCTGTTTCAATTCTTGGTAGTTCAACAGTTTATCAGTGATCTTCATAATAAGGAAGATGACTAAATTCAAGTCTCCCCTTTCTTGCCTTAAATGTAACTGATTGTGAGACTTGCTTCTGGAAAAGATGGAGCAACCAAAACTAAATTTACCTTCCCAAGTAAAACAACCAAATAAAAACAAAATAAATAAATGAAAGAATGTTTTTTAAATACTAACCATCAGGCAATGGATCACAAAAATTCCTGAGAACTGAGGTAAGTGAGAAGAGCATATGATTTCCCTCACTTACTTAGAGAATTTCCAGGCTGCACAGAGATGGGAAACTGAGGAAGGGCAATCATTAGTTAACTTTTTAATACTATTCCAGGCATCATAACAGTAGTGGTAATGAAGTACAATGATCGACAAGATAAATTTCCTGCCATTAAGAGGCAAACAAAATAATAAGGCAGATTGGAAATAAACTCTTACCATCATTTTAACTGGATAAAAAGTGAAGTGTCTAAATAAAGATGTATATATTTGGCACGTTTGAGTTCACAAGAGGAAGAACATATTTCTAGCCAGGAAAACCAAGAAAGGATTCCAAACAGAGACTAAACTTGTCCTTTGAGGATAGGTAAGATATCGTTTGCAAGGATTAGGTAATATATTCTAAGAAGAGAAAATATCAATAGGAAAATAATACAAGGAGAAAAATACAGAACAATTCAAAATGTGGACCACTAAGTGGGTGTGTAATGTGGAAAAAAATAAAAGCAGGTTAAGTAAGTGGAAGTGTGAGGTCAATGAAGAAAGAGGTTGCATCTGTCTTATTAGTAACTTATCTAAAGAAACAAGCAAAATTTCCTGAGAGATCCCAGGTAATCAATAAGTAAATATAACTAAAAGAACTAATAAGTAAAATAAAAAATGTTAAAATATGTGAAAAAGTTCTGCAACCTATAAGTACTCTATAAAGGCAACTTAGAGCTGAGACACATGTTTTTTAAGTTTACTGCAATGTAGCCTACTGGAAACATTTCTTAATGATAGATGCAGGAGGAAGGTAAGGGAACCTGCCTAGGACCTCGTCTGGGCATGCCCACAATGGACTGGGGGCCCGCCTGTGAACTGGGAGAATGGTGTGGAGCCACCAGGGATTCCCGGCCTTATGCAGAGGGGAGGAGCTGGGCCTCTTCAGCTCCTGTGTGGTGGCCTGGTATTCAGTCTGTGAGGTGAGAGCCTGTCGGCAGGACCCCTTTTTATTCCCCAAGAGCTTTCCTTTAATAAATACCGCTCCTCTCGCCTTTCAATGTGTCGGCGCTCCTAATTATTCCTGGTTCTGTGACAAGAACCCAGATTTTAGCTGAACTAAGAAGCAAAATATCCTACATCACTAATAGAAACCTCATGTGAAGAAGTTTTACTTAGTTAACTTCAATGATTCTGCATGAATAAGTGGCTTAAGTGCTTTATGTTCTCAGACTTTACACTCAAGCCAGTCCAATAAACCTATAAGTCCAAAACTAGAATTATTTTTCCTTAAATATTCCAATGTTACAGGGAGGAGATAATGCTTTTTGCAGATTACTCGGTTAAAGGCTATTAGGGGATACCCCTTCTTAGAAACAGTTAAAGTCTAACCACGGACACAGGAGGAGCCTCAAATTTGTTTATTAGATCCATAGCCTTCCTCGTGTTTCTTGTAACTTCTCCTGTCTTTTTAGTGAAGCCCACTGAAGCTAGAAAAAGCTGCATCTTCATCTTCACTGTGGCCTAATTTTTCTTATGCTCCATGCAACAG